ATTTGTATGAAAGACTCTGAATTCTTCTCACGTATTCCTTGGCATTTGATGATCATTGATGAAGCCCACAGACTGAAAAATCAGAATGCTCTACTCAGGCAGACCCTAACTGAGGTTAAGTATCACTTACTTTTTATTCCATTTGAATAAACATTATTTTTGTATTGTATTTTGTAAGTATTGTGTTGATAATACAATAATTATAAATTATTTTAATATTATGATAGTCACTAGTGTCAGAGTTTTGAACTGGAGCTTTTTTGTAAATTTCTTTTGTATAGACTTCGCTGACCACTGTCAAGCTTGAGAATTAGTGTAACAGCCTTATACTGATACCATTGTCTGGGAAGGTAAGAGTGATTTGCCCAAGTGTTCACTCACCTACTCTCTTCTCTAACAACTATCATGACATGCCAGTGACAAGACATTTTTGTCATTGTATCTGTTGGTGGGGCTGCAAATAAGGATATGGATCAATGATCTTCCCACAACAAAAATAGTGTCAAGTGATATGGTTTCAGTTATCTGACACAGGTCTTTGTGATTCTGTAGAACCAGCCTATGATATTTGAAGAAAAGATAGTCCTCACTAAGACCTACATGCATCACTTGCTCATAGCCATTTTTAACCATCAATCTGAGAAAATGGTTGTATACATCTGACAGTTTAGATATTACTGAACAAATTTTTGCAACATGCATAACATCCATGTGAAAGTCTCAATCTGTCAAGGCTATTTCAGAACATAGCTTAAGTTTTTAGGTTAATGTTTTGGTTTTGTAGCAACCTGCTATACGTTTCTTAACAACCACTTTTAGATAGATTGATTGTTTGTTTTTTTACTGCTTATCAACTTTTTGCAGGTTATTTACAGCCAAAAAATATTTTTAGACTTTAGAATTTTATATATATATATATATATATATATATATATATATATAAAACAGTTATTTACTGATATAAGCCTTAATACTTAACCCATAGCTGGAAGGGAGAAGAGGTGGATTCATACCTTCCCCCAAGGGCATTTACACATGAGTGAATATAACGAACCTGACTGGAAGTAGAACTTGGCTCTCTAATTTCCAAATTCAAGCTGTTATCTATTAGACTACCTGTACATACCAAGCTTACAGTACCTGATATTCCCAAGCTTTCACGAGTACTGACCAGGCTCAATGTTGCTTAACTTCAGTGATCATATGGGAACTAGTGTTTAAATGTAATATGGTCATAAGTCAACCATTTTTGGAATGCACAAATCATAACTACATCATAGTTCAATGAAGTATCTGTAACTCAAGAGATGTCATTCCAGTGTTTTGTTACTTGCTTTTTAATAATCAAAGCAAGAATTTAGAAGAAGACTGTATGCCACCTTAGCTGAAATTTGTTGCCTGATTGATTTTGATATATCAAGTCAGCCCTTGTAATTGTTGATTGTACAAGTCACCCAGTGAGGACCAAACTCTTCAGTAATACTGGTCAACCAGACAAACCTTGCTAACCATTACTCTATGTCAAGGTGCCATAACTGAAATTTGATTTTGATTTACCAATTCTGTTGAAAACTGTTGTACCCATCATGATACTTCCAAGTTCTTAAGCATTGCAAACAAACAAAAAGAACTTTTTTCTTTTGTTCTCTTATTAGTCTAACAAATGGATCAATGTTTCTATATGTAAGCTTACAGCTATATCACATTGAAACCCCAGTTCCCATATGATCACCAAAGTTAAGCCACATTGAGCCTAGTCAGTGCCTAGATGGGTGACCACTTGGGAATACCAGGTGCTGTAACTTGGATGTGCTGGTGATGTAATAGATAATAGCTTGAAATTGTTAATCAGCAGAGTTTCAATTCCAGTTGGATTTGTCATGTTCACTTAAGTTCAATTACCATTGGGAAAGGCATGAATCCACCTCTTCTCCTACCCCACAGCTATGGGTTAATTAGTAAGACTTGCATCATTATTATCTCCCAAAACAAAAATATTCTTACAATCCAAAAAATATTTTCTGGATATAAACAAAAGGTTGATGGTCTGTAAAAAACAAATCAATCAATAAATGTTTGTGTATGACTTTTAACAATTTGAGTGCTTAGCACTCAAAAATATTTTAATCATCATTGAAATCAGATATGTAATAGTAAACATCAGCTTTTATAACCTATTCCATCTATATAGCCAAGAAAACGGTGACTTACCTTGTCAAACCAAGCAACAGCACGTCATGTGTATCCTACAATGGAAAAGAAAATTACTTACCAAAAAAAGGGCATGTATTCCACATGACATACTGAAGATGGAATATTTAGATTAAAAACAAGTCCGTCACAGGAGTCTCTATAAAAGTATTTTGATATGCAAAAATTTCTTGAATCAGCAGGGAAAAATTGTTGTATTTTGACTACCGCATTTGTCAGAGAGAGAGTTATTTTTCTGACTGGTTACATGCATTGGAATTTGTGAGATAGTACCTGCGAATCAAGTTTTCAGCATTTCTTTGTGTCCCCGATATTCGAGTCTGAACTTAGTGATTTGTTCTCTGCGTTGTGGAATTAATCTGCGACAAACATTTCTTTTGCATTCAGAACGCTTACAATCTATTCATCCATTTTAGCCTATTAAAGACACTTAGTGTGTATCATAATCATTTATTGTTTAATTCTATTCTCATTTTATTTCTATATTTTGGTATTCTTGCTTATAGCTTTTGCCAGAAGTCTGAATTATATTTGTTAGGCGTCTTTTATACATAAACATCTGACTTAGCTTTTATTACTTTTTACAGTGGAATACAACACAACGCATCTTATTGACAGGAACTCCCGTGCAGAATAATCTCCAAGAATTATATTCCTTACTAAATTTTGTAGCTGAGTCTATCTTCTTACTCAGTCTCAAAGACAAATTCGTATGGAAATTCTCTGATACCGAAAACAAACAGGGTAAGTTTTAAAAAGAAAAGAAAAATTGGTAACATTTTTTATTCAATTTTCTCTCTCTCTCTCTCCCCCACCCCCATATCTCTCTCCCCCCCCACCCCCATATCTCTCTCTCTCTTTATCTCTCTCCACAATTTGATGTGATTTTAGGGGTAATAAAAAATAAATTTCCCATTTTGTTAGATATTTTCTTGTTCTTCTGTGTGCCATGTCCCTTCAGGACATGGGCTCTTGTTTGTGTTCCACCATCCATTGGCTTACTGCCTTCCTCTCTTTTTCTTGCACTCAATATTCCCCATGAACCTTAAGTTTTTTACACCTTCTGTCCATCCATGGGGAGATTGTCCAACATTCACTACCATATAAGAAGACAGATATTACATAGCAAACTAGCACTCTTTCCTTTGTTTCTCATTAGGAAAATCCTTTTTTCTTAAATATCCTAAAAAGAAATCATCTAACAAAATGGAATATTTCTTAAAATTTATTTCTTATCCCCAAAAATCAATATATTATGGAATAACACAGTAATTCCATCTACATTTTACGCGCGCGCGAGTTTTCCTCCCTTCCTTCCACACTTGTGCGTGTGTGCCCACAGATTGCACCCCTTCCTCTCTCGTTAAGCTAAACATAGTTATTTATGCATGTGTTGAATGACCCCTTTTCCTCTCAATGTTCACTCACGCAATACATTTATACTTTGTTTGTGGACTCGGTAGTTTTGTGTAGTATCTGGCACAAGGTCACCTTTTAATAAACCAGCACTGCACGCTACCGGGTCTGCAACAAGATTGGTGACCCAACGACGTGAATTTAACACGCAATAAGATTGGCGACCTTGCTGGCATAATTCGGAGCAATAAGATTGGTAACATACCAACGTGAGTTTGGAGGAACACTTATTTTTTATATATAGAAGACAAGCCATTTTCCTTCGGGTCAACTTAAATCTGAATGTGCGTGAATTTGATAGCCGGAATGACGTCTGGTGACGCTGAAAAGTTGGCGAACATGACCGCCACCGCCGCCGCTCCATTTCCCCCATTTTACTAAGGGAACATTAAGAACTGGTTCCTGCAAATGGAGGCTATTTTTATTGTCAGAAAAATTACGGATCAAAAAACAAAGTTTGGCCACGTGGTGTCGGTTTTGCCACCCGCCATTGTGGATGAAGTATCTGATTTTCTAGAAGCCGTCCCTGAGGTGGAACCATACGCCCGATTAAAGGAGGCTATCCTAAGAAGAATGGTCCGTACGGAGGAAACATTAATCCGTGAGTTATTTAGTAACTTGCGATGGCAGGACCCCTTCACAACTCCTTTGTTTTATGAAAAGTCGACTCGGTAAAAACACAATGGCTGACTCAATTTTGAAAAGCCTGTGGTTGGATCGCCTCCCCACCACCATTACCCAAACTTTGGCACCCATGTCAGAGACCACCCCACTTGACCAGTTAGCGGACGCCGCTGATCGTATTTTCTCCCAACTGGATCACCGAACAACACCAGTACACAGTGCTGAAGCAGCTAGTGACCACAGGTCCTTGGAGAAAACTGTGGAAGACTTACAGCGGCAAGTTAGAGACTTGACATTAGCCCTAAAAAGCCATGGTCGAAGCCGGTTTCCCTCCCGCCGGCGTTTCAGGAGTCGACCACGTTCGTCCAGTCGAAACAAGGATGTCCCTTCTTCTACTATCTGTTATTATCACCGCAGATTCGGGTCTGTGGCATATTACTGCACTAAGCCATGCACCTATACTGCGGTCGCGGAAAACAAGACTGCCAGCGAGTGAAAGCGACTGATCTCGCTGGCAAGGCACCTTCTCCGAAGCTTAGTCGCCTTTTCTACGTGACAGATACACGTAATAATTTACGTTTTTTGGTTGACACCGGCGCTGCCATCAGTGTGTTACCTGTTCATGATAAAGCATGTCAACAACCTTTTCAGCTCCGCTTACAAGCAGCAAATGGTTCCAGCATTAATACTTACGGTACTAAGACCCTTACCTTAAATATAGGAATGCATCGAGACTTTACCTGGAATTTTACTATTGCTGATGTTCAGATGCCAATATTGGGTGCCGATTTCCTGGCACACTATGATCTAGCCGTTCGAATGAACAACCATTCCTTAACAGATAACTTGACAAGACTGTGTGTTCTTGGTACCTACTCCAAACTTACCACCACTGGCATCACCGTGGCAACTTGCCACAGTAAGGAGTACTTAGACTTATTGAATCAGTACCAGGACCTCCTGCATCCTGCTGGGTCTATTAATTCAACCAAACATCAAATGCAGCATTTTTATTAAGACCACTGGTCAACCTGTTTTTGCCCGTCCTCGTCGTTTAGCACCTAATAAATTAAAATTCGCCAAGAAAGCTTTCAACGACATGCTACAAGAGGGTGTTATTCGTCCGTCCAACAGCCCCTTCATCTGGTACCTAAACCAGGAAAGGAAGATTATAGAATTTGCGTGGATTACAGAAGGTTGAATTCCATTACCATCCAGAATCGCTACCTGATTCCCCATATTAACGATTTCGCTTCTGGTTTACAAGGCACAAAGATTTTTTACTAAAATAGATCTTGCAAAAGCATATTATCAGGTACCAGTAGCTGCTGCTGATATCCCAAAATCTGCTGTTACTACACCCTTTGGTTTGTTCGAATTTTTAAAAATGCCTTTCGGCCTATGCAATGCAGCACAGACCTTTCAGCGTCTTATGGACGAAGTCCTGCATGGACTCCCCTTCGTTTTCGATTACATCGACGATATTTTGATAGCTAGTGAGGACGCTGCCTCTCATAAGCGACATCTACACAAAGTTCTTCAACCTTTGTCTCACTATGGATTCCGTCTAAACCTTGACAAATGTGTATTCGGATCAGACCACATGGAGTTTTTAGGACATCATGTTGATGCTAATGGAATTGCTCCTATAACTGATAAGATTAAAGCTATCACCGAGTTTCCCGTCCCTGTTTCCATTAAACAGTTGAGACGTTTTATAGGGATGATTAACTTCTACCGAAGATTTCTTCCCAACTGTTCAAACATTCTGACTCCTCTTACCAACCTATTACAGAAGAAAAATAAAGCTATTACACTGGAGAATGAAGCCTTGGATGCCTTTCGAGCAGCTAAAACCGCTCTAGGCAACTTTTGTAAGCTCAGTTTCTTAGAGGACGACCCTCAGTCAAATATCTACCTGACCACTGACGCCAGCGAAACCGCAATAGGCGCGGTCATTGAACAAGTCCGTCCCTCTCATCGTAAACCCATAGCATTCTTTTCTGCTAAGCTTTCTCCTGCCCAGTCACGATACAGTACCTTTTCTCATGAACTGCTAGCTATTTTTCATGCTGTTAAGCATTTCAGACACCTCCTCGAAGGTAGGTCTTTCGTTATCTTTTATGGACCACAAACCTTTGACATCCATTATGTCCACCAATTCGGACAAATACACTTCGAGGGAAATCAGATATCTGGACTACATATCTCAATTTACTACTGATATTAGGTACATTAAGGGTTCAGATAACACTGTCGCTGATACCCTATCTCGTACTGAGATGTTCATCGTGCACACTGATGCACTCAGTCAGGACTTGATCGCCGACGAACAGGAAGCGGACATAACTCTGAAGCATGTGTTATCCGACACTTCTTTAGAACTTCAGAAATGTCCAGCTCCTTTTAGTAACAAGGTCCTATACTGTGATGTTAAATCCAACTCCCCAAGACCATATGTCTCTCTGTCTCTTTGTAGACAGGTTTTTGACCACCTACACGGACTCTCACGCCCTAGCAAGAGAGCCACAGTTAAATTAATTTCGGACCGTTTTGTTTGGCCGAATATGAACGTTCAGATTCGCGAATGGGTCAATACATGTTTACAATGCCAGAAGTGTAAAGTGCATAGACACACGAAATCTCCTGTGGGCACCTTCAGCGAGCCTGATGCTCGTTTTACTAATATTCATCTGGACTTAGTTGGGCCTCTACCAACTTGCCATGGTTATTCTTACCTTTTAACTATAGTGGATCGTTTTTCTCGATGGCCTACTGCCATCCCTATTAAAGATACCACTGCTGTAACCATCGCAAAAGCTATTCTACGCGATTGGATTTCGGTCTTTGAGACTCCCAAAGTGGTTACTACCGACAGAGGAGCACAATTCCAGTCGTGTCTTTTCAGGGAATTCACTGAACTCCTTGGTGCAAAGCATATACGTACCACAGCATATCACCCCTGTGCTAACGGTCTTGTGGAACGGTTCCATCGCACCCTTAAGGCTTCGCTATCAACGAAGCATGAGAATAATAATTGGGTCGATGTGTTACCCCTCATCCTACTTTCGCTAAGAAACATTCTTAAGGATGATTTCACCAGCAGAGCTTGTTTTTGGTACGTTGTTGTCATTACCCGGCCAATATTTTTCACCAGCTGTGACCACACCCCCAGTTTCTTCTTTTATTCAAGACTTGCGCCTTAAAATGGCCAACTTATGTTATACACCACCACGGCACTGCCCGAGTGATATATATTTACCGCACCAGCTCCAGGACTGCAATTTTGTGTTTGTTCGTAATGACGCTGTTAAGCGGCCTATTACGCCGGCTTACATAGGCCCGTACTGAGTTCTTAAACGCACAGAGAAATATTTCCAAATACAAAAAGGTATTCACACCGACAATGTCTCGATAGATCGGTTGAAGCCTGCATTTATAGAGAAACCGATGTCCCATTACTTCTCAATCAACTCCGCAATTTCAGGAGAATTTGAAGACACCCGCTTCTCTTGACAAGCCTATGTCTAAGTATACCAGCTCTGGTCGGAAAGTCACTTTCCCAAAGAAGTTTGAGACTTTTTACTATTATTAGTTAAATGTCTACCGACATTTAATCCAGGGAGAAGGCTATATGGAATAACACAGTAATTCGATCTACATTTTACGCGCATGCGAGTTTTCCTCCCTTCCTTCCACACTTGTGCATGTGTGCGCACGCGCCAACGGATTGCACCCCTTCCTCTGTCATTAAGCTAAACATAGCAGTAAGCCAGTTTTTTTTAACTAGAGTAAGGAGGGCCGATGACCAGCTCCTGCTGATAATATATCACCAGCCTAACAGATTTAAAATTACCATTTTTCCCGCACATCATGGACAAACTCTTTTAAAGTTAGTCAAGGTCTGAACTCTGAAGCAACAAGTTGACTTTTTTATCCCTCGTCAGTCAACCATAATACAGACAGGGATATCTTATCGACGAATAATTTCTTCGTCCATCTTGACTCGTCATATGTAATTCCACCAAGACGATGCAACTAACTGCAAATAATTCCTTCGTCACTTTTGGCTCGTCATATGTAATTCCACCAAGACGATGCAACTAAATGCAAATAATTTTTTCGTCCCTTCTGGCTCGTCATATGTAATTCCGCCAAGACGATGCAACTAACTGCAAATAATTTCTTCGTCCCATTTGGCTCGACGTATGTACTCACATCAAATCGATGTAAATTTTCAGCACTTAATTCAGAGTCCTTAAGTCAACAACTTGTTGTATTTCCCTTTGTCTTTCGACCAAAAACTCCGAGATGACAGAACTTTCGCCACTTCACCTTTTTCGACAACTATTCTTTAGTCATAATGCGAATGTCTTGTTTGAGTCTGCCTACGTCCATGACCAGGGTACTTTAAAACTTTCAATAGTTAAGAATGAGACTTCTCGTATCCGTGAACATTCTAACTACTTTGAACCAGTACTTAAAAAAAATATTACATACACTCACAATACCAAATTCCACAGTGAGTACTTTTTCTATTTGTGCACACCTGCACCTTGTGTTAACAAGTCAATTTTTCCCAGAACTTTCATTCTGATGAAACCTTTTCCCGCCTTGTCCATCTTGTTCTTCTGTTTTGGCGTGGAACACTTTCACTGATGGTCTCGGATGACGAGACAACTTACTTGTTTTAATGTAATAAAATTTTCATATGTTTTGCAACCAGACGCTCTCGTCATTTAATTCAGGCTATCTTTTTGATATTGTTATTTATGCACGTGTTGAATGACCCCTTTTCCTCTCAATGTTCACTCACACAATACATTTATACTTTGTTTGTGGACTCGGTAGTTTTGTGTAGTGTCTGGCACAAGGCCACCTTTTAATAAACCAGCACTGCACGCTACCGGGTCTGCAACAATATAAAGGACGTTAATAATTTTAAATGTTTTTGCAATTTCTATCTCACAGGTGGGATATGGGAAGCCTTTCTGCTGCTCTATCGCTACTTTCGTGGAAAATCCTTTGACAAACTACATTCTGTCCTGGGCAATGGTGTACAGAGGCAGTGTGCTGCTATGTGGCCTGGGCAGTGCATAGTCTCCATATACCATTGTAATATACCAAGATAATAAAAACTTATTCACATAACAATTTTGCTTCTACTTTCAACTGCCCCTTGTAGGTTTTTTTTTTTTTAATACAAACGTTTGTGTGAAAAAGCTTTTTTCAAGAAACTTTAATTAAAAATTTGTTTATTATTTAAGTAAATAAAGAAAGATGAAAATCCATTTTGAAAGCTATAAAACTTTAAAAAATACATGAATTTCATAAAAATAAATTTAAGTTTCATAAAAAAAATATTTACTTTTTTTTTAGTCGCAGTTATTGAAGATGATTTTTGTTTACCTAGTATGCTACATAAATAAAAACAAATCTTTTCAATAACAGAGACTAAAAAATTATTTTATGGATTAAAACTTTTATAAAAACAAATTATGTGAAAATATTTTCTGTCAAAATCTTTTTGTAAGACTTGTATTAAAAAGTGTATGAGAAATTGTTGTAATTTAATTGCTTCATCACAAGGATATTTTGTGACACATGGTCAGTTTTTTGTGAAGAAATCAAATGTGATATTGATGGTAATTCCATACATTCATTTGGATGTATGGAACTCCCGCCAAGGGAAATATAAATGCCTACTATCACCCTTATATGATTCTTAGGATTAAGTGCTGAGCAAAATTCCTTATATGGAATTTTATTTTTAATTCCTATTTAAGAATAATTGAAAATTTGAATTTTAAAGTAGAATTTTATATAAAAACTCACACACACACAATGATTGAGAGCCCCAGGTAGTGCTTTGTGACCCTTGCACCTTATCAGCATTTACATTTTTCTACCTACATTTATATATGTTACAAATTAAACTAAACACAACTGACAATTAAAGAATGCAATATTTTCCTGGATTCTGACATCATTCTGGATTCACTTTTTTTTTTCGTCCAAATCCATGAATTTGTTTTGTTCATGCTAAGTTTTAAAAAAAAAAAAAAAATTACTATTTTTTATCCATAATGTTGAATTTGTTAAAATTCTTCAACAGTATTTAACAAGAAAAATCTCAAGTCGATGTTAAAAATTGCTGCAAAACATTTTTGATTTATTTAAATGGAATGATCTATTTTGTCATGTCTCTAATTTGTATTTAGATATGTATTTATTTTCAATTTTTCTACTTGAATTATTCACCTATATTGTATATCATCCATTATTGTACATAATTAGGTTACAATAAAATTTGTATTTTATATGATTACTACATTATAGTAGAGTGGGATGGGGCTTGCACCGAGCCCAGATAATATACACAACAATGTCCTGTCCACTTAACACAATTGATGACAAACAATAAAGCCAACAAAAATTCTACTTTCACTTTAACCAGCCATACTGACTACTGAGATTATGGGATGCAAATATAAGTCTCATAAGGAGCTGTGAATTTATTTTTAATTTTGCACTGTTTGCCTTAATGTTCAAAAAGTATACTAACCCAAAATGTGACAAAAGACAATAATAAGGTGAGTTAAAACTAATAACATTGAATATGTCTATTATTCACATAATTCTATTGAATATTACTGTCACATCTGGTGCTTCTTCTATGTATTTAGAGATTCTTGATAAAATCCAAAAAAGAATCTGCAATGTTATTGATTCTGACCTGGCATTTCAGCTTCAGTCATTTTCCCACCACCATAATGTGGCTTCCCTGTGCCTTTTCTATAAATATTTTCATGGTAATTGTTTTGATGAACTTTCATCTTTAGTACTATGACTTTACAAATTGGCAACTAGGTCTCATCATTTTACAGTTGAAATGGCTAGATGTAACCATAAATTCTATGTTAACTTTTTTTTCCTCATACTTCTCGCCTGTGGAACTCTCTTTTTGTTTCCCCAATCAACTTTGATCTTGAAAAATTTAAATGCAATGTCAATCATTACCTTCTTAATTCCTGTTCTTTTATCATCCTCTCTCCTTAATATTTTTTTTCTTTTTCTCATATTCTTTCACACTTAGTAACCCCCCTTGCATCTTAGTGGCTTTATTGCCTTGCTTGGGGAGAAATGATTTCATCTGTCAAACTTTATCTGGAGTTTCTAAACAGTTTAAGCTTAGATATTTTTTTTTTTATCGAACTTAGTGAAGCTCTTCGCATATTTCAATGTATATGATGCTTATCTTACAATTGATTGACAGTAGGTTTTCTTCCTTTCTCAATACTCAAATAGTCTTGTATTCAACAAATAAAAATAAAACATCTTAATGTGACTAAGAATGAACTAAAATATTTTGGTTGGTAAAAGGTGATTTGTTTGATAGTAAGCAACAGAATACACATCTGTATTCAATATTTGTGTTTCTTAACATCTAATATGAAATGTTTGGTTTCTCTTTTAGCCACTTCAGATTTGCATCAGCTGTTGCAGCCCTTCCTTCTACGCCGCATAAAAGAGCAGGTTCTAAAAGACTTGCCCAAGAAATCTGAAGTCATTCTCTTCCATGGTCTTTCTACTGTCCAGAAAAAAATATACAAGGCCATCCTAACAAAAGATCTCAGTAAGTATAAATCCGTTTTTGATAATTGGGTTATAGAATGCAGAGACCAGCCCAGGATAGCAGATTACAGATCAAAAGACTAAACAGCAATATATTGCCTTTGTCTAAGTTTTGAATATGAGGCGAATGAAGAAAACAGTAACCAGCGAGTAAATTCAAGCTCTCCCAACTGGTATTTCAACCTGGAGTCGTTCCTTCTTGAGTTCTGTCTCCAAATCGAAGAACTCTCCGACTCGAAAAAAAGTAGTTGCTTTTATAGTTGTTCATATACCCATAATCCCTTGCGTCTTCACGTGATCCCATAATTCATTGCGTCCATGTCCCATAATGCATTGCATTGTTATTGCATAAAAATGCGATGCCAGTCCCCCTTGATTCTTTTTTACGTTATCTGGCCGAGGATGGATTACGGCAGAGCGGTAAGTGCTTTTTTTCTCTCCTCATTTTCAACTGCAGTAGCTTTACATGCTAAGCAAATACGGGCTCTTTTTTTTAAGGGGACAAGGCAAGTCGCGACCAGTTGTGCTCGTCCCAGGTTCTGTCTCATGTCCATACAGAATATAAGATCAAAATGGTGCAAGTTTGGCAGAGGGTCACAAGAATTTTGAAGAGTCAAAACACTTTCCTCACCCAGTTTTCCTTAAGCTGATCTGTACGTAGCAAAATGCTAAGTCAATGAGTAGGAATGCATTTTTCTGAAGATCTTCCTCCCGTTTCCTCCTAGAATCAATGCTACTATGTCTGTCCTTCTTGTATAGTGAATATGAAAAAAGTAATGTGGTTTTGAGGTTGGAAGAACTGAAGCCATTGGCAACATGGAACACAACAATTAGTTCCATGGATATAAGTCAGAATACACTCTTCTGAGTTGAGGGCTCATAAGAGATGACAAATTATTCAAAATACAAAAGGATGTTGAATGGCCTGACCTTGCATAGTAATTTTCAGCCTGAATATTTAAAAAAAAGAATTTTGGGTTGGAACTGCCCAATCTTCAATGTCTCTATGACAGAGTTTAGGAGCATTTATGCAGTCTTGTGGGTAAGGAATTATTTTCAACCCTGCAGCACCTTTCCCACAAATGAAATATTGTGAGCCTGTCACTACTCTTTTGACTTTTTCTGTGGCAAATATTCAGACAAGCTATATCCCTGAGTTCCATCAGTTCAGACCATTACAGCTCAGACATGCCTTCATATTCCTTTGGGAAGATGGAGGTTCCACTCAAACAGCTTCCTCATAAGAATGACTACTTTGTGGAACAGATTCCCATGAGGATACTTCCCTGTTCACAACATTCTTGATCTCTTCAAGCCTGTGGGGCTAACCATTGTCTATCTTAAATATCCACATAATCTGCACTTACTTTCTCCTTACACCCATACAACAAACTCAGGAACTCTCTACCTTGAGTGGCTCTTGAGCTTTGTATTGGGTGAATATGTCGTGTAAAAAAACAAACCTTGACTAAAGAAATTAGGCCATGTTATATATAGTCTGCTCCAAAAGTATTGGGACGGAAAGACCAATTCCTTTATTTTTGTTCACTGAAGACATTTGGGTTTAAGATCAAAAGATGAATATGAGACAAGAGTTCAGAATTTCAGCTTTTATTTCCTGCTATTTACAATTAGATGTATTAATCAGCTTAGGACATAGCACCTTTTGTATCAGATCACACCATTTTTAAGTGATCTAAAGTAAAAGAACAGAGTCTTAAAGTAAATAACATTTAATATTTGATTGCATAATCCTTACTAGTGATAACTGCATTAAACCTGTGACCCATTGACATAACAAAACTGTTGCATTCTTCATTTGTGATGTTTTTCCAGGCTTTTAATGTAGCCTCTTTCAATTCTTGTTTGTTTCGGGGGTTTCTTCCTTCAGTCTCCTCTTCAGGAGATGAAATGTATGCTCTCTTGGGTTAAGGTCTGATGTCTGACTTAACCAAAAACTGTCCACTTTTTAAAAGGGAATTTTTAACACCTTATATATGAGATATAAGTATTACAGGCTACCAGAGTGCTCAATTCATAACAAAGAGCTTTTAGCGTTAATAACAGCAGCCAACAAATTCCCTTTCATCCAAAGTGCTCAACCTACGAGAGGGGGTATATACATATTCATCCACAGACTGTTTCACTGTATCACAACTCATCAGTGTGACTAGACATGCGATTACTTCAAGCCAGTCGGAGACTCTCACCCTTAGGCCCTCAGCTCATGTAGTGGAGGAAGGGAATTTTTAACACCTTATATACAAGATTTATGAGGTTTTGTAACTATTTATACATGGCCCAATGGATAGAAGCATTGGTTGAAATAATCCAGTAACTTGACACAGCAGAGGTGAACAAAAACTTGGAGATTTGAGTTATTAAAGAGAAATAACTGAAACTGAGATATCCAGAAAAGGCATGGCACATGGAACTAGAATAATTTACCCCAGTGAACAAAATAAAGGGTTCGGTTCAAAATTCCAACATGTATCACCTGAATAAAGCCAGAGCGTACAACAGCCAAAACATTATGAATATGACAATAAAGATGAGGACAACAGTCCAAGCAATGTAAACAACTCAAGTATTCTTCATAATATTATAAATAGATGTAAATAATAGTATAGTTATTAATAGTGATTTTCTTATTTTTAAATTTCACTTACATAAAGACTGTCATGGGTCATAAAACAATATAACCTTAAAAGAAAAACAAGATATAGTAAAGTTATTGAGTGATGGAAACTTGCAAAAAATATTTAAAAAGATAAAAACAGTGGGAAACTAAGGACAATAAAGTAACATCTTTTGAAAATGTCACAAAAAATTTTAGAAGAAAGTAAGAAAATTAGATTGACCATCAAAAAAGTATTTGAAGAAACTGATGTCATTAAAGTTTTAGAGAAAATTGAAACAAAAATATATAGCATCAGAAAGAGCTGAAATATCTATGGCAATGAGGAAAGGGGACTTGAAACATTTGACACTCACAGGACATACTGAAGGCACGAGGGACAGAGGAAAACAACATATAATCTACTTAATGAGCTTGTGTAAATGGTTGGAATAACAGGAATTGGGAAATATAGCAAAATGACAAACTTTATTAAATTACAAAGTCATGATGGACCAAGCAACTTAGCATATAGATTATGTCAATATTAACAGGCAGGATATTAAGACTAGTGGCTGAAGGCATGAAAGCAACAAAATTGAATTAAATTTTAATTGGTATCCATTCAGCCAGTATATCATATCTTATTATTAATTTTTAATAAAAAGAGGTTATATTTTTTAAACTGATTAATAGAATATACTCTAATAAGGTATAATTTGAATCTAATTTCCCCATTGTTGCCTAATCTTAATTGATATAGATTTTTAAATATTTTTCTTGACAAACACTACAAGTATATTCATGCAAGACAATGCTCCTTCACATTCAGCAAAATTAATTGCTCATTTTGCTTCAAAAAAAGGTTTCAAAGAAACCAAATTAATGGGAAGATAATTAATAGAAAATTTTTAGTCAATAATGTCATCCCAAATTTCCAGGAACCAGTTTTATAAAGGCAAGTAATCTTTAGGAACTTATTTTGTTTATTTTCTTTTCAATCTGAGTATGGAAACAAATCATTTTATAGTATCAAAAAGGATTAATCCATTTTGATAATTCAATAGAAAACATTTATTTAAGATATTTCCACATATAAATTCTGTCCTCATCATATTTCTGTTCAGAAATATAATGCTTTTTCACTTTAGTATCATCAACTGTGTTATGGTTTCTTAGCCACATTTGAACTGAATCGCAGTCCAATGAAAGACCTATCAAATTTATGACTAAAAGATTTGCCACATTTTTAATTTCAAGATGATTTCTTTTGTCAGAATAAATTATGTTCATCATAGTAAACCCTCTTTCAGTTTCTGCAGAACTTAAGCAATGGTATTAATTATATTTTTAGCTATTATATGTCAGCTTTTAATATATAAGATTATTTTTGGATAAATCAACAACCAGTTCTCCAAGCTTTTATAATTTTAAGAATCGGATAGGATGCCACCACTGCTTGTGGTCGCTAATTAGTTAATGTGTGTCTGAGAATGGAAAACAATATTCTAGCAAAGATCTTTCGGTAGCAATAAAAACTGGTGCAAGTAATATTATGAATGAACTTCATTTCAAAAAGATGGATTTTTAATGGATTATGATAACTGTCATCATTGTGTCGAATATTTTCTTTTTTTAATTTTGTCCAAATTGACAAATTTTTGTTTGATTATAACATCATAGATGGAAAAGAATAAGCAAAACTTTCAGCAAATTTTTTTTAATTTTGAAAAAAAAAAGATTCATGCAGTTTTTGAAGAAGATACTGTCAAATATCAAACATGTCAAAAATGGTTTGCAAACGTTCATGTTGGAGTTTTCCGACTGAACAATGCTTCACAGTAAGGGAGGCTAATATCTAGTAAATGGCTAATGCTAGTAAAATGTTGTAATTAATTATATATGATTAATGTGTTTGTTTTTTAAATAATTTTCATTCACTCAATACAAGGCTTAGGAGCCCATTCAAGGTAGTGTTACCGATTGAGATTGTAAGGGAGAGGGAACAAGGAAGTAAGAGAGTATTATAAGGACAAGTAGGATAGATATCAGTTGACCTTGGACTTAAAGAGACCAAGATTATAGTAGTGAAGGAAACATTCTCTCGGAAATTTGTTCCACAAAGTAACATTTTGGGAAAAAGGCTCTCTCAATGTAATTTGCTTCTAATCAAAGAAACATAAAGTGAATGAGGATGGTATGCCATCATGAAAATGGCATGGCAAGTCCTAGCTGTAAATGTCTGTAGTGGAACTAAAGAATGTAACTTGTCCAAATATCTTCTATGCTATAGTAATCGTGATTTAATAGTGAAAGGCTGGCAGAATTTTGTCTGAGGGATAAGTGTTATAGGATGGAGAATAAGTCATACACCCACAAGGTTGCATAACTCTGTTGAGGATGGATAGTGAGAACTGACCATCACTAGCCCAGATATATCAGCAATATTCCATTTTTTGGCTGCTCTAACTCTTAAAAAGATAGAGCATGACAGCAGGAGTCGGATATTTTCATGTGCTTATTTTTAATATTAATAGCTAATTAAAAACAAATTACTTTTTCATACCAGGAACACAATCTATGCTTATTTCTATCTTGTTGATCATAAATGTTACAGGAGGGACTCTCAATGTTTGAGCACTGTTTGTTTATTCCATCGTTCCATGTCTTTTTAATTTTACCAAATTTTGCCTTCCAAATGAAAATATTGTTACTCTTTTGATTGTAAGAATTACTTCAAGATGTGTATAATGTGTATAATTCTAATGTGTGTGTTTCAGGTATCTTTGTTTCCAATTCTGACCTACCCGGCACCTCTCAAAGAAGCTTGATGAATGTCCTTATGGAATTGAGAAAATGTGTCAACCATCCTTATTTGTTTGATGGTAAGTTTATATTTTCAAGTGTTTGGTTCATAGTCATCACCAGTCTTTTGAACAGGAGTAAAGTTTCCTGTTTAGGATTGGATTTCTGGTTCCTTTTTAAAGTCTTCTCATTTTCTTTTACTCCAGGAAGCCCCTTGTTCTTAGTGGCATTATCAACTTGCTTGGGGTGAATTGATTAAAAAAATAAATAGAAAGGGAGAGGTACTTCATCACAGCGACTAAATTCTTTTTGTTGTTGGACTTGGATTTATATTAGAAATTAGCTTAAATGCCACCCTATAAGGTGGCATTTAAGCTAACTCCTGTGGAGGGTTCTTAATTGGGTCTTCAGCTTGTTCAGGAGTTTGAGAACCCCTAAGTCTTTGCATATTCTCAGCATTGGAAGCTCTTCTGGCTGCCATTTTATCTAGGTTTTCATTTGCATGGGACTTTCTTTTCCTTGCTGAGGCCTTGGCTTTTTTGATTGCAATCTAGACTTCCGTTGGCAGAAATTTCTTTTTGCAAGGCATACAGCTGTCGTATGGCAACAATAAACTACAGAAGAATTCAAAATTGATCACTGCATTTAAGTATTACCTTTTAAAAGTTTCCATACAAAAAATTATTTTTAATTCATGGTTGACTTTCACTGGATTTCACAATTAATTTTGATTGTTCCCAAATTTATTTCCAAGTTGTAAGAATTATCGTACAAAAAAATTTGTCAAAAAAAATCACAAAAAACAGTCACAGTTATGGAAACTTGGGAATCCAAAATTTCTGTAACATGATCTATTGAAAGAGAGTTGTGTCCCTTTAATTGAAAAAGTGTGGCACAGTAACATTAGCTTTTATTATATAGAAGAGCTGTTCCTCTGTCTCACACAATGTATGCATTGTGCATGAAGATGACTTATATATGCTTGTGTCATTTAATGTATCACCAAGCAAAAAGCAGACATACACAATGTGAATGAAACTGAAAATGGACATCTCTGTCATGAGAGTTAATTTCCCTTTCTATCTGGTTAACAACCTCCTAGCTAACAGGAAAAGACTATAAGCTGAACTGGGCACATTTTTTAAACCATTTTCATAACTCCTGTATTTAAACTGAATATGTTTCTAATATATAATGGCTGTCCACTTGTATCTGTGTATATATGTCTACTAAGGTGGCTAGCCAATCCCTGTTGCAGACTTCTACTCAGACACATTTGTGTTTATTCAACACCCACAGAGGCCACCTGTAGTTTATACTGCAACTATGCAGTTTCAGGAGAGAACATGATCAACAGTCTGAACAAGTCCAATACACTCAAAACCTAAGTCATGATGACTGGTGACTTTGTGCTAGCACAGCCATCAACAGCTCACAAATAGTTCTGTGTACCCAATTCCACTCACAAGGCTTGGGTCAACCCATGGTATGGTTTTCAAGCACACCATATCTAATGATGGTTTCTCCTAGGTGAACGCTGGTTTCAAATCCTACCATATTCAAATCCTACATATTTTTGTCACATATTACGATTTCTTGAATATTCAGGCCAGTAGACAAAGGTAAATAAATATACTGTTTAATAAATAAATGTAGCATCTACTCAAATACAAATATCTGCTAAAAAAAAAGGTTAATAAATTCTGCCAGGTTAATAAATTAAAAAATCCATCCCTTTCTTTAGAAATTGCTTTGTTTACATTAGGATGAAAAACTGAGTGTGAAGCCAAAAATGCTGTCAATCAGTAGGATACTGAGAGAAAAGACATTTAATGCAAGCAATCTTTGCCTTAAAGTGTTTGATATCAGAGAGAGAGCAATTAAACAGTCAATTGCTGATACCCTTTGATGAGTGGATGATGTGATTTCTGGAGGGTCCATCTACAAAAGTCTGGAGTCGGGAAGCTGAACGTAACATCAATCAGCTAAGTGACAAACAAACATTTTGCTTGTATTAACATATATTTTTTTTTAGGTGTTGAACCTGAGCCATTTGAGGTGGGAGAACACTTGGTGGAAAGTAGTCAGAAACTTGTCCTGATTGATCGGCTCCTGAATCACTTGAAAGCCACTGGCCATAAAGTTTTGATGTTCTCACAGATGACACGAATGCTGGACATATTGCAGGACTACTTGACATATCGAGGTAATGTCATCTTTTGCCATAAAATAGAATAGGGTTTACATGCTGTTGCCATAAATCAGAATGGGGCATATGACACAGGTGCTTCTTTTTTTCTTAAAGGTGTACCCTGATAATGGCAATATTAGCCGTTTAGCAGCCAATGCTACTTTCAGTTGAAATTTTTAAAATATTTCTAATAAAACAATTTTTAAATAAAATGTTTCTCAAGTATTGATGGGAGGGGGGGCTTTCTTTAACATTTTTTTTTCTTTTAATAGTTTCATAACTGGATTCTGCATGTCCCATTCCATATATGCTGCAGGGGAAGGTCATGAAATTAAGAGTGTGGGTCACTTCCTGGCAAGTTCAGGTTCACATTAAACAAATTCACACCATTGGCACTTTCTTCTCAAATTTTCTTTCACCTCCAACCAACTCTTGCATAGCCAAACAGCAATAAGGAATGGATGAGGGAGCAGGTTTTGGTTAATCTGTCATCAACACCATCATCATAAAGGAAGCAAAGAAGAAATTAAATTCTTGGATGCGAGATATAGCCGATATAATAATATATTAGTGATATAATCACCATGTTCTGAGCCCATTCACCAAATTTGCCATCTCCCTTGAAATTCACTGTTTCCTTTAGACAAAAGGTTGCTGTTTTCCTTTGTCTACTCCTTGCCCCCCTAGTCGCCATTTTCCTTAGCGTGTCACTTTCAAGTTCCCATCTCTCTTAGCTCACTCCCCAATATCCAGAGTTGCCCCCTCCCCCATCACAGTTACCGTTTCCCTTAGTCTACTCCTCACTCTGTGTCACTTTCCCTCATCCCCCTCTCTCTAGTCTCCATTTCCTTTAGCTTATTGACCCAAAGTTGTTGTCTCCTGCAGCCTGTCATCTTGAGTTTCCCTCTCCTAGTTGTTGTTTCTCTTAGTCTGCTCCCCACAGTTGATGTTTCCCTCAGCCCTCTCCTCATGCATCCCTATTTTCCTTTAGCCATCTCTCTCAGTCCCTCCTCCTCCCATTTGCCTTTAGCCCTATTTTCCTTTAGCCATCTCTCTCAGCCCCCTCCTCATGCATCCCTATTTTCCTTTAGCCATCTCTCCTAGCCCTCTCCTCATGCATCCCTATTTTCCTTTAGCCATCTCTCCTAGCCCTCTCCTCATGCATCCCTATTTTCCTTTAGCCATCTCTCTCAGCCCTCTCCTCATGCATCCCTATTTTCCTTTAGCCATCTCTCCTAGCCCGCTCCCCAATTGTATGACTTGTGATTACATTCCATCCACCTCAAAATAGTGTGGAACAAATCTAAAAAATATTATTATTATAATCTTTCTGACATAATAATGTATATTAAAAATTAAAAACTTGCATTTACGTTATTTTTCTGCTCGTCAGGTTATACTTATGAGCGTCTTGATGGATCAGTCAGAGGAGATGAGCGTTACCTGGCTGTGAAAAATTTTAACCATAATGAAGATACATTTGTCTTTTTACTGAGTACAAAAGCTGGTAAGTTAGAACAAATGCATTTTTTACCTGCTTACTTTTTATTTTGTTTTAATCTGTCTTTACATACAGGTATTTGCAGGTGCCAATTAAGCAACCAATCAATGTGACATTTTTCTAGACATCATTGTTATTCTTCATAGAAATAATCTTTTTACTTCACTTTACACAGACATCCACTACATAATCTCTACACTTGAATATATATATATATATATATATATATATATATATATATATGTTTATTATAAAATTAGCATTATTTTGCCATTATAAAGCAAAAAGGCATGAAATTAAGTGAACCCTCCTGATTCAAACTTCTTATCTGAAATTAAACCTGTCTATTGGGTTAGGCATTGTGTATGTGGGAAAGGTATTAATCGTCTTCTTTTTCCCTCCAGCTATGGGTAATCAACAGGACAGACTGGGTTCTATAGCCTTGAATGGCAACTGGTCTAGGAGAAGGACAACTCTGAATTCAAAACCTGCAGAGGGTCGTTTTGCAGATAGTGCACCAGGTCTCTGTATTCGGCCCTTCAAAAAGTGTGGTTGGTTCTGCACAAAGCCTTCACCACTATAATCAAATTATATGTGCTGGTATCTGGGCTGCTAGTTCCTAGGAACTGAGCTGCTTGACCCTCATACATTGAATACGATAAGAGAGTCCACCATATATATATTAAAAAGAAGAGAAGAGAGGTGCCGCAAACGCTTTTGGTTGTAATGTGGATTTGTTTAGAAAAAAATATTATGCTTTGTTTTACATTTTTGAAGATTGTAGGTGGCATGGAAGCAAGAAATTGGAAGGTAGTTCCACAGGCAAGAAGTGTGAGAAAAGGATAGAACATATGGTTGCATTTAGTTAGTTCATCAGTAAAAAAAATAAAAAGTGATTAAATATGCTTAAATTCATGCAGTCAAGGCACCAAGGAGGAAAGCTCTCAGAAGAATTGCCATGAAAATATTTGTAGAAAACACTTCTATCTCAATTGACCTTTAGCATTTTGAAGGCAACTTTGTTTGACAAGCAAAATTCTTGATCGATTAATTGATTTGTTTTTTTCAGCCAGAAAATATTTTTTGATTGTGAGATTATTTTATTTTTTTTTTGAGATAATGGTTTACTGATACAAGCCTTACTAATTAACTAGAGGGAGAAATAGATTCATACTTTTCTCAAAGGTATTTGTGCATAAGTGAATAATGAACCCAATTAACAATTCTAAGCCATTATTCATTACACCATCTGTACATTCAAGTTTACAGCACCTGGTATACTCAAGCAGTACTACATACTGACCAGGCTCAATGTTGCTTAACTTTGGTGATCATACAAGAACTGATGTTTCAATATGATGTAGCCATTGTTCTACTATTGAAAGTGACTGATCCACAAAAAATAGTGTGTTTGAATTTAGATGTTGCATTATGTGTTGCTTGACAACAGAAAATTTTTTTTAATAACTAATCACAAGGCCTAAGAGCCAGGTAGAGTGTTACTGAATGGAGTTGTTGTATGAATGTAAGCAGAGGAGGTAAGAAGTGCAAATTATGGGGATATGTAGAACAGCTAACAGTTGAACCTAATCTTACTTATTATAAAACGTGGATTGTGTGTGTGTGTGTGTCTGTACGTTTATATATTGGATCGGATTTCCTACATTTTTCAACTGATTTCAACAAAACTTCACAGGACTGCATAAAATTACCTTGCGGTGGTTCTGACAGCGCCAAAAATTGGAAAAACACAATTGATTTTGCATGAAATCAATTTGAAAACACGATTAAGAGGCATTGCTGTTGCAAGAATGAAAGGGGGACAACTCATATCGAGTTATACTTATTATAAAACCCAGGTTGTTTGTGTGTGTGTGTGTTCGTTTATATATGGGATCAGATTTCCTACATTTTTCAACCGATTTCAACAAAACTTCACTTTTTTTTTCTTATTGTCTTGCACACTTTTTTCTTTATTTTTCCATTCAGAATGCTTTAAAAATTCCATTTACAAGATAATTGTTTATAATAAAATTCTATTCAATCAATAGACTCATAACGATTGGAAACAATGTTTTTGTCTGAGTTTGGGTTTGACCAATTCATAAAAAAAAAAAAAAAAAATAACTAAGACATGTGTGTCCATCAATCTTAAACAATAATCTTTGTCAATTTTATTTTTCAGTCTTTTTGATGGTCGATACTTGATCTATCTCTTACTGTTACATCCCCGGGCAACACTGGGCTCTACTGCTAGTCTTAATTAAAATAAACAATGGGTATACTGCATTTTTTTTGCATCTCCTTTATAACATTTATTCTTGTGTGAATTTCTGTGATGTCTTCTTGTCATCTAGTTCCTCGGTATGACAATAAACTACATCCTGCAGCAAGGCCTCTGATCAGAAAATTGTTGCTTTTGAGGAGCATGATGCCACATCTTAATTGCTCTTGTCCCCCGGTTCACCCTGACCTATTTTTATAATAAAAATATCAATACATTTTTATATAAAAAAAAATTACCCACACTACATATTTATAGTAGAATTACCAACAATACATTTTATAGCAAAATGACCAACAATACATTTTATCTGTAGTTGAAGGCATAAAACAACAAATTATACAACATCAAAACCTACTATAGAAGAATGAAGTAATAATGTCCAGACTTCATATTGGATACTCTATGATAACACATTCTTATATTCTAAAACAAAAACCACCTCCAATCTGTATGATATACCAAGAACTATACACAGTAAAACACATACTATGAAATTGTAGTGACTTCATCCAAATCTAGTTACAATACTACTAAATAACCAACATTGATATATTAATGCATATAATATCCTACAATTTCTTAAAGAAATCAAACTGTAGTCCAAAATGTAACTTCAACAAAACTACAAAATAAAGCACACATATTACTGCCTCTAGTAATTATGTCCACACAAACATATATGTGCACAAAAACTGAGTATCATTTACTCAACTGTAAAAATAGAATAACATATATTATATTTTTATTACTTCAAGGCTCCCAAGAAAATTAAATTTCAGCATTAAATGACCCATAAGCAGTTGATGTGCCATTAAGCAAATCAATCAGTCAGTTTTTGTTGTTATCATAATCTCTTTGGCTGTTGTACACTGCAGCCATCTTCAGTTTATTCTAGTAACCTACAGGGAATTTTCAAACTGAACCCTTCATTTAATCTATGGGAATAGATTATTCTCATTCCTTTGTCCATGTATAAGAATATCTGGCCTTGTTCTAGAGCAGTGTTTCTCAACCAGTGTTCCCCCTGTACCCTGAGATTCGGCCAGAAATATTCATAAATAGGCGAATGCATTTTTGAATAATTTTCATTTAATATTCATAATTTCACTATACGCATACAGTATATTGTTGGAAAATCTTTGCTTATTATAATAAAGGCTTCAGCTTCTTATATTATTTAAAGTTATAATAATCATAGGGAATGTATTTATTGATGTCTATATGCCATCAGTGTAAAACCGCCTTCACTGGTTAGTGGACAGGGCCTGTACATGGCCGATTCGTGTATCATTGATTCACTTAAATATACAGGATGCATGCACAGTGTCCATATATTATGTTTTATCATGTGAACTATGATAAAAATATAAAAGCAATAGATATTAATGGTATATAATAATTTTTATGTAGGTGTCACCTTAAACATGAAAACTATTCCAAGCATTCCCCATCCTGGGTATGACAATAAACTACAGCCAACAGCAAGGCCTCTGATCAAGAGGTTTTGAGGAGCATGGAACCACCTCTTAATTGCTGGTGTTCCCAGGTCTGCCCTGACCCGGGGTGGTAGTACCTGTTATGGTTCCAGCTATGGGCAAATAGTTAACACCCAAACTTGTGTAAAAATAGGTTTTAATACCAGAAATACTTTGTAATGAAAAAAAAATATTACCAGCAATAATTTTTGAAGGAAAAATTTTTTATCAGCAATAATTAAAATTTACAGTGAAACATATACTGTTAGAGCGTGTAGATTTTGATCTAGTGCGAACAAAATATTACTGAGTGAGTATTTTAAAAAAAAAAAAACTTTTTACGAAAATAAAACCATCCAAGATTGTAAATTTCCTAAAAGAGGTTGGATTGTACTAAAAAAGGAGTAATTGAAAAATGGTTCAAATATATATGTATATATACACCTTTTTTTATCAAACTATTGCTATGAATCTATTTAAAAAATTTTGTTGGCATTAAATGACCCACTGAGGTTGATATGCCATAAAACAAAACAACCACCCAACCAAGCTTTCCATGAGGGTAAATAAGTTGAAAAATGCTGGTCTAGAGAATTAAAATATTGGTTCATGAATTTGGTGTCATAGTGATTGCCAGGTTTTACAGACTTAGGCTCCAAGGCAACAGTACAAGCAATGACTATACAGTACTAAAAATTGAATGAGACAAGATATCTCGAGACATGGACAGCAGAATGAAAACAGTCTACCCCATAGATGAATAGTTCAATTCAAAGTTCCCAGAATGTCTCTTATATCAGTGATGTCACTTGAAGGAGGTCAGAAAGCACAATGACTAAAGTATTGTAATGGCGATAAAAAGATGAGGATATTAGTCCAACTGTAATGTAAATACCATTTATTATTAATTATCAGTTGTCATAATATTCTCTCTTATATTGGATAGTCCTGGGTATGATGATAAACTACATCCAGCAGCAAGATATTGGAGGTTTTGAGGAGTGTGGAACTAGCTCTTAATTGCTGCTGTTCTCAGGTTTACTCTAATCCAGGGTGGTAGTACCTGTTAGGACCCCTGCTATAGACCAATAGTAAACCCCCAAACAAAAACAAAACACTATGGAAGTATGAAAATACATTTTTATAGTAAAATTACCAACAATACATTTTATAGCAAAATGACTAACAATATATTTTATCTATAGTTGAAGACATAAAAATTGTGTTCAAAATATTTAGATTTTGGCATTAAATAACCCATAGAGGTTGATATGCTGCTCAACAAAATCAACCAATCAACTTATATTGGACTATTCCCTTTTTTTGTTATCATAACTATTTAATTCATGGGATATTTTTTAGGTGGCCAAGGTCTAAACTTGACATCAGCTGATACTGTCATTTTTGTGGACAGTGATTTCAATCCTCAGAATGACTTACAGGCAGCTGCACGAGCTCACAGGATTGGGCAGAATAGGTACGTACTTGTTGTTAGTAACATTATCTTGACTTACTCTGTTTTTCTGGTGTGTGTTTCTTTTGATTTCAGTTGTGAGTTAGACTCCAATAATAAATTACAACACAGTGGTGCATAAGTGCTGACTAGGCTTGAAGGCTGCTTAGCTTTGGTGATCAAGGAAGAACCAGTGTTTTAATGAGATATGGCCATAACAGAAGATCACATTTAGCCATATAAACTCATTCTTTATTTTTTGCAATTACTCTCCAGTAACATATAAAATAGTTTTGTTTTTACTTACTCTAGTCGTATTAATAGCATATGAAGTACTGTCAATCATTTATTAATTTCTTTTACTTTCACTTGCTTTTCACCACACCTACTCAAACTATCTTTTTGCTATATACATGCTACTCAAAGTACACAGGGTGCAATGGGTAAATTGTTACCATTTTATAATTTTTAATTTTGCACATGCAAATTGTTGGTTTTGATTTTGCTAACTGCACAGTATAATAGGGTCAGTTGGGCACTGCCTGTGAGAAAAAGAGTACCATGACACAATTCACTCCACCAGAAATTTGGTATCTGTACTGCTTGGCATTCGTGCCGAAACCTCCAATATGAACATTTCAGAATGTTTGGGTGTCAATCTGTGGACAGTGCAAAGGATTCAGGAAGGGAAAGAGTTGGATGAGTCTAATGGTGATTACGAAGGTACAGCTTCTTGGAAAACTTGGATTGTTCTGGTAAGGAAAAAAACTGCCAAATATGTTAGTCAACATAGAGGCCTACATCTAGTGCCTTGTGGAGGTAGTGCTGCCCTGGGTCAAGAGTGTGGCTGCTGGAAGACCCTATGTCTGGCAACAGGACTCTGCACCATGCCACACAAGCAGGAGAACCCAGTCATGACTGTCAGACAATTTCTGCGACCACATCACCCTTTACATCTGGCCACCTAACTCCCCAGACAGCAACCTCCTTGATTATTATGTGTGGAATGCAGTTAAGTGAGAGACCAACAAAACTCCTTGTAACACCAAAGATGAACTGAAGGCAAGGATTATGGCAGTATTCACCAACTTAAACAAGGAAACTGTCCAGAAGAGTTGCAGGAGATTCCAAATTCGTCTAGAGGCCATGGTTGAAGCTAATGGTGATTTTATTGTATAAATTTTCTCTTTAGTATTTGAAGATATTTTTGAGTAATTTTGGTAAATATATCTGTTAAAATGAGATGTCAGTGTTAATTTCATTTTTTGTGTCATTTAGAGGACAATTTATCTATCACATCGCAAGTTTGGGCACTTATTTCTATTTATTAAAAAGACATTGAGTAGTTGCAATGAATAGTAACTAAAATTAAGATCCAGCATGATTTTGGAACTGATGGTACCAGAAAATTGGTGGTCTATAAATAGAATTTACTAATCATGATTTGAATCATTTTTAGTCACTTAATGTATTTTCCAACTGACTATAAGGTAAGAAGAAAATTGAATTTTTAATTGATTTTCCCTTTGAGTTGTTACAATTATGTTTTGAAGAATTATTGAGCTTAGTCTTTTCATCTCATTTTAACAACCATTTATGATTTAAATCAAGTTTTTCTTGTTTATAAAATGACTAACCTATCTCTTTCGTAATGAGCCAAAAAAAAAACTAAAAACAAAAATCATGATTATGCAATTAATATATTTGAGATTTTATGAATTTAAGCACAATACTAGATTGGCAGTTAGGTCTCATCAATTCACATTTGAATAAGTTCTATGCTAACTGTTTCTTTTCTCACTTCCAGCTCCATACTTTCCAGCCAACTTTGATCTTCAAAAATTTAAATGCAATGTCAATCATTATCTACTGTCTCTTTGATTACACTTCTATTGTTCCCATTCCTTAATAATGTTTTTCCTTTTTCTTATTCTTTCACACTAGTAACACCTATCTTAGTGGCTTTACTGCCTTGCATGGGGTGAAATAACTTGAAAAAAATTTTAATCCTAATTTACAAGGGAAAATGCATTTCTGTAGAAGGTCTGATCTCCATGTTAAAAAAAAAAAAAAAGAATTTACAATCATTGGTTATATTAATCATACACAAGAGAATTAATATCCCTTTTATTTAGTTATCATATTTGCTTAAAAACGAAATAATACAATGAAGTCATTTTCATCCAAGATTCCAGTAGTCACTTTGTGGATTTAGAAGCACATTAGCTTTTGTCTTTTCTTCTTTTTTTTTTAATGTAGTCTCTTCAATTTTAGCATGGCATTCCAGTTTTTGTGTTTATTTTCTCTCTGCCAGAGTAACTTTCTTTGAGTTGAACTTCCTTCATGCAGTTAATTGGCTCCAAAGATCCTGGTATTTATCTAGAGCCAGAGAGGGAGAAGTGGATTCATGCCTTTCCCAAGGTTATTAATGCAAAATGAACATGATTCCAACTCAAACTATTTTTTGGTTCACTAACCCAATTTTCTATACTGATAATTATTAACTCCAAATAACTGAAAAAGTAATCAAGTCCAGGTAACTGAATAATTAAAAATAATATATGGTGTCATCTTTGCATAAAATATATGCACACTGAATTCTTAAGCTGTCTTTTTTAATTAAGAAAACTTTACTCCCTCCCTCCATGAAAAGAAGAATTAAGTAAATATATGGGTCATGAACTCTTTCGTTCAATTGTTACCTACATAGTCAATGTGAGGCAAACATGTATGAGGTTACACAAAAAGTTAACTTGGTTTATTAATTAAAAATGAGCCCAACAAATGAACAGATATGGTTCCTCTTTTATTTATTTTATTTCCCTTACTTTCTTTAAGGCCTGTCAAGATTGTCCGTTTGATTGGCAGCAATACAGTGGAAGAAATAATCCTACGTCGAGCAGAGGTGAAATTGAAACTGACTGAGAGGGTGGTTGAGGAAGGCCAGTTTGCTATCTTACCCCAGAAAGATAGCAAATTGTCTCTTATCACAGACAATAAAGTTAAGGTAATCACAACCAAGACCTTTGAACAGCATTTGACTTTCATTGTTCTTTTTATTTTTATATATTGGGATCATTTACACTTTATCTGTTTTGATTGATTCATTTTCTATGGCTTATCAACACTTTGCAGGTTATTTAAAGCCAGAAAATATTTTAGATTGTAAATTTTTTTTTTCTTAGAGATAATAGTTTAGTGATACAAGTCTTACTAATTAACCCATAGCTGGGGGAAGAAAAGAGTATTTGCACATAACTGAATATAACAAACCCAACAGGAATTAGAACTCAGCTCTCCAATTAAGAACTCTGAGCTATTGTCTATTTTGCATCACCTGCACATCCAAGCTTACCGAACTGGTATTCCCAAGTACTCAACCATCTGACCAAGCTCGACACTTTATCTGCCAAATCAACTAACAAAATGAAAATGAAAATATTCTCTTTAGTGCAACATTCAAAATCCTACGATTTTTTATGTAGGTAAATCAATAAATCTGTAAATTTAAAAAAAAAAAAAAGCCTTTATTTTTCAATATAATCTCATTTCTTGTCAGTGCACTTAATCCAGTAGTAAATATTAATCCAATAAATTGAGCATTATACAGTGAAAATTTAAAATCAAAATATAGTTATTCACTACTTGACAGGCTACAGATTTATCAACACACAACTGAAGCAAAATGCCATTTTCTTTTAAATTCTTAAATAAAGTGAGCCCCCACCTATTCACGTTTCAACATATCTTCACACATTCACGGATTTTTCTTTGGAACATATGTACTTGTTATTCACAGAAACCCCAAATATTCGCATGTTTTTCTTAAGAACATATGTACAAATTATTTGCTGAGAAGTCTCGATTCGCATATTTTTTCAATGGAACATATTCTTGTATTATTTTCCCATTATTTAAGTGACTTAAAACATATAACAGTCCATTTTTATGGTAGAAATTGGCAGAATTGTACAGCTTAATTGTAAAAATAAACACGAAAACATGCGTAATGGTTGGGCTTTGTTCATTGTTAGAGGTTGCAGTCTTAAAAGCAGCTTATGCTAAGTCTGTGGGCATCATCACTATTCTGTTCTTAGAAGATATTTTAAACTTTATATTTTATCTTGTTTACACTTATTTTATACAGTATTTTCAATGGTTGTATCAATCTATACGTAATTAAAAATGGTTATTGTGTGTATGAAAGAAATTTATGCTAAGTGTATGTGACATACTATTTTTCAAAAATGTTTTAAAAAGGGTTTGAAATGTTTCTAAAGTGTTTAAGATGAAAGTTTAAGGCATATGGGGTTTTAACAATCAAAATAGGTACTTATAAGTACTTTTAGGGTGGTTACAAGTATTCACAGTCTAACAACTCGCGGCCGGTTATGGTCCCTAACCCCTGTGAATACGGGGGACTCACTATATCTAGATAAAGAAATTTAAAAATCAATTAAAATAAATAATGCCAAGTAATCATAAATTAACATTAAAAATAAACTGTTGGGTCAGAAAGAGATTCGTTCAGTAACATAGGTGAGGTCTAATGACCAGATTACTAATTGTTTAACTAAAAGAGATGCATCAAGTTACAAAGTAATAGACTGTTTGAATAATAGAGAAATACCGCAATAATATACTTTTCCATTGGAAAAGAAATTAGATTGTTAACTAATTCAGTTACTTCCTATCCCCAAACACTTTATGGATGGTTCCAAGCCACAGTGGGAGACTTGTCTCCCTCTCTCCCAACTTGCATTTGCCCAATGAACCAAATATAAGCTAGTTTAAATTCCTTTCTAACTTTAATTCTTGATGCGGGGGGGGGGGGCCTTGCCACATTAACTTCTGATATCTGGTGAGTCTATATCACTTTAACTCTTGCAAACAGTAATTACTTTTTGTTGATCCCACCTTATTAAAGGAATTTTGTTTTTATGTTAATTTATGATCCTTGATCATATATTAACTTTTAAAAAGCTGATTGATTAATAATGGTGCCCTCCATAAATTTTTCCACTTTGATTTTCATCTTTCTCAAACTCCTGGATCCATTCTTGTAAAGAAAGCCATCTATACACAAAAAATAAAAGATAATTACTGTCGTGAAGTAGAGGTTAGCACTAATCAGCCACTAGACTACTACTACTACTACTACTACTACTACTACCGGTGGTTACTCTCAGTGACCACTTATATGAGTGTTCTCTTATGCTTATGCAAATTATGCATACTAATTTGCTAGTATCACTACATCTCCCTGAACCTTAAGGGTTTTATTCCTCTCGTAGATCTTGTACTCCTTCTCCTGCTATTTTCATCACTTTGCTCTATTTCTCTCTCTCTCTCTCCCGTATTTCTTTCCCTGGGAGACCTCAATCTGTTCCGAGCTAGGCTGTAGTCACGTGTTTTCTTGCATAATCTGGTCTTCGTCCGAACTTTCAGACTCCTTCTGGCCCTCTTCATCCTGCATTGTTTCCTCTTCTGACGTTTCCTTCTGTAATGGTTGTTCTACCAACTCATTATCAGATGGAATTGAAGACATTTCTTCGTCGTTTCGTTCTTCCTCTTCACCCTGGGTCCTTATTTGGTCAGCATGGGCCAACACACTATCGCCATTTTCTCTATTTATTATGGCTGTATTATGGCCTTTTTGCATTATAAATTCAGCTCGTTCCGGATCTGCATCTTTGCTCTTTTTGTACCACATCTTTTCATTTTGTAGAATATGACATTGTTAGCGGAGCTCTAATCTGTCTTCCCATTAAAGCTAATGGGCTTTCTAGTCTTCCCGCATGTGGTATCGTCCGATAACTTGAAAGCAGCCGTGGTAGAAAAACTTCTACTTTTTCTTTTTGCTGAGAGCATGCTTTTAACCCCTTTTTTACAGTCTGTACCATTCTTTCTTTACATTTTTTACACCTCTTTACATATTCCTCAACGTCTCTTGAATATCCCAGCCACCAAGCTTCTAATTTTATCCTTTTTTGTGTGGCCGCTACTCCAAAGTGTATATCATTATGTACACTTTCTATTATCTGTTTTCTTTGTGTTTCTGGGGGAACTACCAGGTCCCCATTGCAAATCACTCCATGTTCTATTGTTAATTTGTGTCTTATTTCTTTATAGGGTCTTTCCGCCCTAGAACAATTTCCCCACGAGTTTTTCCTTATTCTCGATACTATCCTACTTAGCACCGGATCATGTCTCGTTTCTGCAGCCATTCTGTCTAAAGACAAAACATCAGTATCTATCAAGTGTAGGAATGAATCTTCAAATTCTTCCTCCGTTTTGTCTTTTGACTCCTTGTAGAACCTCAATCTTGATAGTGCATCCACATGTGGAATTGAATTTCCTTTGACATACTCTATATCAAAGTCAAATGCCATCAATCTTATCGCCCATCGTAAAATCCTTGATGTCGTGACTTTGGGTAATTCTTTCCTTGGATTAAATATAAATTCTAATGGTCTATGATCACTTCTTAATAGAAATTTTTTTCCAATTAAAAATTGTCGGGCTCTGGTAGTTGTCCACACGATAGCCAATGCTTCTTTCTCTATGTTCGAGTAATTAAATTCAGTGTTCGTTAATCTTCTCGACAAATACATTATCGGATGTCCATCTTGTGATAATATTCCCGATATTGAATGTTCACTTGCATCTGTAATGAGTGTTATGTCCTTTTTTGGATCAAACATTTTAACTACAGGTTTCTTTGACATAATTTCTTTTAATCTTTCAAAAGCTTTTTGCTGTTCGTCTGACCAGATAAATTCTACATTCTTTTTTCTTAAATTTGCAAGTCCGTGTATTTCGGTAAGTATCGCCTGTAAAAATTTACCAATCCCAAAAAAGACTCCAATTCTTTTTTATTTGTAGGTGTAGCTACTTTTAGTATTTTTTCTATCAATGCTTGGTCTGGTGATATACCTTCTTTTGAAATAGAATAACCTAAAAAAGATATTTTGTTAGAATTGCTTACGCATTTTTTTTTATTTATCGTCATTCCAGCATTTCTTAATCTATTCAAGACTAAGTCAGTTTTTTCTTTTAATTCCTTTTCATTAGTAGCTCCTATGCATATGTCGTCTTGGTAACGACCATATTTTGTACATTTCCTAAAACCTGTTCAATGGCCCTTTGAAATATGGCGCTTGCAGTTTTTATTCCATATGGCATTCTTTTCCATCTTAGTAACCCTATTGGCGTATTTGTCGTGGTTACTTTTTGAAGATTTTTTCGTCTATTGGTATTTGGTGGTATGCTGTTTTTAAATCTATTTTGAAAAACGGACATCCCCTGCCAGTGCATGTAATGCAAGTTCAACATTGGGTATGGGATATGAATCCGAGCATATCTTGTGATTTACTCCTATTTTGTAATCTCCATAAATACGTAAATCACCATCTGTTTTCCTCAAAACTACAATCAGTGATGCCCACTTGCTACCTCAGGCAGAACATGTTCAAGAAGGTCTTGTTCTACTAATTTACGTAGTTTTGTCACTACTAATGGCAATAAATGTACTAGTAATTTTCGTGCCTCATAATAAGAGGAAACATTTTCTTTTACTTTTAAACTTGCTTATAGTTTTTAACTTCCCAGTTTTTTCCATTTTTATTTCATTAATTAACTTAGTAGAATTTATATTAAACACGTCATTTCCAATAAGCCCGTGTTTTTTTTACAACTTGTAACAATTATAGGTATTACTTCAAATTTTCTTTTTAACTCTAATGAACCTTCAAAGTATCCTAATGTTTTTATAACTGACCCATCAAATTGGCGGAGTTGTAAACTGCTTTTTCATAAAGGTGGCTTACCAATGTGTTCCCAAAAATTTTTTGGTATCAGTGTTACTTCACTCCCAGTATCAATTTGCATATCTAAATTGCAGTTATTCATTTTGACCTTTACTATAATGTCTTTTTTCTTCTGTTCCAAAGTCTTATTTTTCAATGCAAAAACTTCCCTATCGGTGTCGTTTTCTTGAATTCTTTCAATATTTTTCTTTTTTAATTTACACACTGCTTGAAAGTGGTTCTTTTTTAAGCAATTATTACAAGTTTTCCCAAATGCTGGACACTTTTCCTTTTTCATTTCATGTTCACGTCCACAATACAAACACTTTTTTTATCTTCTTTAACATGTACGTATCAGTGAAATTTTGTTCACTGGGTTGACTTTTATGATGGTGGTATTTCTGTATTAATTCTTGTTGCTGCATAAAGTCAATACATGTATTTAAAGACATATTTCCTATTTGTAATTGTTCGATTATTTTATATCAGTGTGATGCATTGGACATACCTTCAATTAATCTTAATTGAATCAAGTCCTCTTCAATAGTCTGTTCGTCTTGTCCAAGTTTTTCAAATTCACAATATCTACTTGCATTTAATTGAAGACGGTGTAAATATTTTATAATTGGTTCGTCAATTTCTTGTTTCATCGACATGAATTTCGTTCTTTCTGCCACTACCAGCCTTTTCTTGGGTCTCATATTTCTTATAATCTGACTTATTTTTTCGAAATTTAAGTCTTCCAAATTTAAGGGATATGCCATGGTGGAGACTTTCATTACCCCCTCGCATCCAGCTGTAGCCAAAAATAAATCCGTAATTTCATTTTCACCTCCCTTTTCCTTGTTGTCTTTCAACTTTTTTGTTCTCGCAGTGGCAGAGAAACAACGAATCCATGTATCTACGAATTCTGGATCTTCCAGAGACAATTGATATCCTATTGGCAACGCCATTGTCGTGAAGTAGAGGTTAGCACTAATCAGCCGCTAGACTACTACTACTACCGGTGGTTACTCTCAATGACCACTTATGAGTGTTCACTTATGCTTATGCAAATTATGCATACTAATTTGCTAGTATCACTGCAATTACTCAACTTAGAAGTTCAGGTTCTGCTAACAAATGAGCAATCCTATAACAACTGGAGGCTAGAGGTCACCTTGTATAAGAGGATTTGTCAAAAAGATCCAAAAATTTCTACTTAGTGTAACAGGATAGTTGAACCCTCCTTGATGCTTGCAACATATTTCAGCTCAGTGTTCATGATTCTTCTCAAATTTGTCAGCAGTAACAGAATGTTTTTATTTTATCTTATTAGGTTAGGTGCAAAAGTTTCCAGAATTCTTTTGTAAACTGGCAGGATAGCGACATGAGAAATTTGACCAAACCTACATTCACCCACATTGTAATTATTGGTCTGAACAATTCTTCCTCCTAAGCAAATTGTCTCCCCTTCTCATTTGTTTAGATTGCAGTGACTTTTTTTATTTTCTTTCTCATTTTCACACCTGTTGTTTGAATCATTTGAAAAGCCTTCTGTGTGTGAAACCATTTATAAAAATAAGCAGTATACATGGGCTCACATGTCTATTCTTGTTAAACTTTTTCATTCCTAATTGATAAAATGCATACCTCAAGATGGCCAGACAAATGCCTTATGACAATTAAGAATCAGAAGATGAAATCATCAGCAGGTTTATTAAAACCAAAACGGTAAAACTAGAAAAAGAAATAAATACAAATACAGTGTAACCCGGATATAAGAGAGATTTTCTCTGGTCCCAAATTACAGCCTGTGTTAATGTATATAAAATAGACCCGGATAAGCGGATATGAAGAGATTTTCTGGTCCCAAACCCAGATATAAGAGACTTCTTCTCCGGTCCCGACAACTCTCTTATATCCGGGTTACACTGTATAATAAACAGAAGAAATGTAACAAGGAAGACAAATGTCACACATTCAAAATCAAAAATACCCCCCCCCAAAAAAAATTTCCATTTTTTTCTTTTTGTTGTTGTTGTGAAAAGACCAGTTTATTATACTTCCTGTTTTACAGAGACAAATGTACTGGTCAAGTCCTCTGTGATAAGACAGCAACCATAGACCTGCTACCCAATATCATCACCCAAACATAAATTCAGTAGTTGAAGGTAAAGAAAGAAATTCAATGGCCTTACAACGAGAGAACTAATAAAAAACCCTGGACTAACAACACCAAAATTAGAAAGCTGCTGGAAGATGTCAGTGTTAAGTCTCTAGCACTGGCTACAGAAGGATTTAGGCTTGCCATACAATCCCACTGCCAAGAAATAGCTTCTTCGTGATTACATGAAGAAGCAACATCTGCAAGGAACATTGGTAAAGTGAAGAAAGATCATGCTTTCTGATAAAAGTTAATTCCAAGCGTTCTAGATAGAATGTGTTACAGTTTATTCAATGCTCATCTTCCAGTTGATACAACTTGGCATACATAATCTCAATTAAGTACTCCCAGTCAGTGATGGTGTGGGGATCTTTTTCCAGTTGGGAGAAAAAAAAGAGGAGCCTATGCTTTCTCTCCAAGAATGCCAACCAGCATATCATCATTTTTAAGAACTATTTCATGGGTATGCCTAATATTCGCTTGTGTAATTTTTATTTTTTTTAAGGAACGACATCTGCTATATGTCCGAGATATTTCCAGAAGAGGCAGATTAATGTGTTAGATTGACTTGGCAATAGCCCCCCCCCTTAATTGAATTGAAAACAATAGCCCCCCACCCCTTAATTAAATTGAAAACAATAGCCCCCACCCTTAATTGAATTGAAAACAATAGCCCCCCCTTAATTGAATTGAAAACAATAGCCCCCCACCCTTAATTGAATTGAAAACAATAGCCCCACCCTTAATTGAATTGAAAACAATAGCCCCCACCCTTAATTGAATTGAAAACAATAGACCCCCACCCTTAATTGAATTGAAAACAATGAAAACCACACCCACCCTCACCAACCCTTAGTTGAATTGAAAACAATAGTACCCCCTCCCACCCTTAATTGAATTGAAAACAATAGCCCCCACCCTTAATTGAAATGAAAACTGTTGGCATTGCATAAAGCTATTGTTGACAAAGATAACTCCTAACCTGAAGATATAAAAAAACAGAGATAAAAATAATTGGAGCATTTCAAGAAAATGATTCCATGTCCCAAAGTATCCTTAGGGTCATTAAGAACAATGTTAAGATGACTAAATACTAATATGCACTTCTATTATAATGTGATTTTTCTAATAAATGTTTGTTTTCAGAATTTTTTTTTACATCCGATGAGAAATATTAAATTAGCTCTGTGTGCACATACACATGTATATAAAACTGTGGATCAAGAAGTCTGCAATCTGTCATGGTTATTTGAATTTTGATTTGAATTTTTATTATTTTTAGCTTTTGGTCAATGCGAATAATATTCACCACTAAATCAAGTGCATTAACAAGAAAGGAAATTTTATGTTAAAAAATAAATGTAGAGTGAAATGTTTTTTGTTATTATTGGTTTGTGAACTTATGTATGTGTGTGTAGATGTATTTAGGCAGCAAGTATTCATCTAAACAAATTTTGTTAAATTCAATTGATAAGGACTCTATTTAAATTATTTGTACATTTGAAAAATATAATAAAAAAATTAAATAGACAGAACTTGTTGGTTGAATTTAACAAAACTTATTTGGAAATATATATTTGCGCACCTATTAATGGACATTAAAGAAAATCAGCCACACAAATGGTAAATACATTTTCAATAATTGGCATTGATTTTTATTTTTCAGCTGCAAGACATCATCAAGTTTGGTGTTGACAAACTCTTGCAGGATTCTTCTGGTGATGCAGGAGCCAATGATGTGGATTTGATTTCACTTCTGGGAAGATCAAAAAATGGACAGTGGGCTGAAACTGCTACCAATGGTCCCTGTAATGGTGAAGATCAGCTCATTGTAAGCTTGACAATTTTTTATTTTTTTGTTTCTTACCTGCAACCATACTAAAGGGGTATCTGATAAGCACACTGAAAAACTAGAGAATAACAACTTTGTTCAAACCTCTATCACTCTTCAGTATTCTTGCTAACCTCAACATTTTTATCATTTCATCCCAAGCAAGGTGATAATTCCACTAAGACACAAAGGGTTACTATGATTGAAAGAAAATGAGAAAATGTTACTGAGTAGAAAGGACCACAAAAGAACAGGATTTAAGAAGACAAGATGTTGACTGACATTGCATGTAAATTTTTGAAGATCATAGATGGCAGGAAAGCAATAAATCAGAAGAGTTTCACAAACGAGAAGTGAAAGAAAAGAAACTATTAGAATAGAATTGGTGGTTTCATTTAGTTATTTCAACAGTTTCTTCAGTTCTTTCACTTTTTGTTTTTTTTATTTCACCCCAAGCAAGGTAATAATGCCACTAAGATGCAAGGGGTTACTGTTGATTTCAATCTGCTTGGGAATGACTGCAAAACTTTTCCTCACCTTTTTATAGGCAGAAGTCCACAAATGAATGCTGGGATATTTTTCTTAGCCAATAAAATAGGTTGGTTTACAATTTGACATGAAGCAGTCCAATTCAGGCAGTTCGGCTGACTTGTCAAACTCTCAGCCTTCAGGCAGAGAGGAACAGAGACAAGGCCATGCCAAAGGACGGAGTCACATCTGGGGAGGTAGATTCCCTGTACGCAGGGTCTACAGGGAATTTCTGCCCAAGCCTACAAGCTCAGAATCATGCCACATAAAAAAAAACGTCCTTGTGTCACATCCTGCCTTGTGTGGAGGTGAGGTAAATAACCTCAGTCCAGGTTTGCTTTGTCTAAAAGACAGACCACTGCGTTCACTTGTCTAACCTTGCTTTTATGTGTAGACACCAATTCATAGTTTGTAAACTTTTTGCCTTCTTACCTGTGAAATTGCTTTGCATTTATATTTTTGCTTGCTTGATATTATTTCATTTTTGCCCCTTTTTCTTTTTATTACAAACTTTGTTAATTCTGTTAGACAGTTCTGTTATTTCTTTTGTATTTGACCATGGCTGCTAACTCATCAGTTACTGAGATTGAAAGAAATTGAGAAGACGTTATTGATGGGGGGGTACCATAAAAGAACAGGATTTAGGAAGACAGGAGATGGCGATTGACATTGCATTTAATTTTTCGAAGATCATGGGTGACTGGAAAGCAAGAAACTGGAAGAGAGTTCCACAGGCGGAAAGTGCGAGAAAAGAAACTGTTAGAATAAGACTTACAGTTAAATCTAGTTATTTCAATAGTAAAACAAGGCCTAGTTGCCAATTTAGTACTATGTTTAAATTCATGCAGTCAAAGGAACAAAGGAGGAAAGCTCATTGAATACATCTTAAAGAACTTTTGTTGGTCTTCACCCAAATATGCATAAATGAAAGACTGTTGCCCAGAGGTACTAAGTTTTTTTGTTTTTTTTTAATTTATAATTTGTTGAAAATCAGTAAAGAAAAAAAATGTTAATTCTCCCTGGACCCCCCAAAAAAAAAACATAATCCAAACCAAAGAAAAAAATTGTTGGTCTTCAAACGTGTTTGTATGTGTTAGTTTACCCATGACATCAACAATAACACTATATATATAAAATTGATAGTTAAAATCCTTACTATTAAAAGGTTTTTATACAAGTCTTTAAATACATTTTTGTCAGTTATTTTATTAAGTACTCTGCTCTTTCATGGGGTTGGTATTTTCACTTCCTGGTGTTGTAAAATCTTGGGGGATACATTGCTATTGTCATAAAGCCTATAACAATTTAAGGGAGATAACTCCCATCTGGTGGGGGAGGTTGAAACAAAAAATATACATTTGGTATATTATATGTATGTAGATAATTATCTTCTCTCTCTTTTTTTGAAGGACTTATCCAGTGATGAAGAAAATGACCGAGCAGGACCATCTCACATTTATGAATTTGAAGGAACTGATTATGCCAATGAACCCTCAAAATCTGATGAAAAAGCTTTTAATGAACTTCTTTTAGGTAAAATGCTTTATTTAACCACGGGTCTTTTAAAAATTACTTCTCGAAAAATATTATCTGATTTTATATTTGTTGGATAAGCACTTTTAAATCTTGATTTTTTTTTTTTTTTATATTTACAAATTTCAGTAATGACAATTCTTGCTAATGTTCATTCATTATTGTAATTGCAAATTAAAAATCAAAATCTTCTTTTAATTAAAACTCGTGGTTATATTATATTAAAGATGACATTAATGTTATTGAACAAAATATTTACCATTTTTTCCACTATCTGACATCTTTCAAGAAACTTCATAATTCCACCCTCCTAGTACTTTCAAAGAATTTAAATTTTTAGTTTAAAAAGAATATATCATATATATTCAAATATAGTGAGAGTTTTTAGGATCAGTTTTTTTACACAAAAAATAGGGGGTCACACTATACACAGGTGATTTGTTTTTTTGCTTTCTTTGAATCATGCATTTTCAGTGACTAGTTGCACTATACACAGGTAATTTTTTTTTCTGTAGGGTTAAAATTCATGCAAAAATATTAAGGGTTCACACTATACACGAGTATATAGAGTAATTTTGTTTATTTTTTCCAAGAAAAGGTTCTAGATGCTTTTTACTGTATGCAAAAGTTTTTTGGTTTTTTTTGTTTTTTCATTAAAAGAATTCTCTAGAGACTTAAATAACTGATAATTTGAAATTGCAATATCTGGTGACAATCTCTTTGTGACTGCTTGGTCTCACACTGTTCACTGACCTGAGATGGAACAAATACATTGAATCAATAGCTTCATCCACCGCAAGGAAAGTTGGTTCCCTGTGTCATGCCAGAAAGTTTTTCTCACCTGAGTCCATCTTTCAAATCTATAAATCAACCATTTGCACTTGCATGGAATCCTGCTGCCATATATGGTCTGATGCCCCCACTGTTCATCTTAAGGTCCTCAACAAAATCCAGAGACAGATATGCAATGTAATTGGCCCTGATCTGGTATCTCGTCTATAGTCGCTCTCTCACAAATGTGTCGTCACCTCCCTCTGTCTTTTCTACAAATACTTTCATGGTAACTGTTCCAATGAGCTACTTTTGCTAGTTCCAAGACTGCATGAATTTAAACATACAACTAGGCTGGTATCTCGATCCCACCCTTTCACTGTCAAAACTGTTAAATGTAGCCATCTCTTCTACTCCAATAGCTTCATGTCTCACACCTCCCATATGTAGAATTCTCTTCCTATTACTTGTTTCTCTGATAGCTATAATCTCCAACTATTCAAATGTAATGTCAATCGACATCTCCAGATGCCCTGACCCATTCCCTGTCCCTTTCTTCATCCTTTTGTCCATCATGCCTCTTTACTCTTGCTCCCACTCTCTGTAACCCCTTGCGTGCTAGTGGCATTTCTGCCTTGCTTGGGGTGAAATGCTTAAAAAAAAAAAAAAAAAAATTTAAGTCAAACTAACAATTTCTTTCCTGATCACCTAAAAAAACACTAACATTATCTTAATGCAACATTTTCTTCTGTCCATTAACTAATTCCATGCTCATTGTTGACTTTAGTTGGTCTAATTTTGACATTTTTTTTTTTATTAAATGCATGCAAAAATAACAAACATCCCAATTCAGTCAAAAGTAATCATTTTGAATGCGATTTGGTTTTAACGACATTCTAATACAATTTAAGGGTCAACACAAAACCACACCAAAGATAGAATTAAAGAATATTCCTATATATAAATTTCAAATCATTCTGTGTTGTGCAGGTTGATGAGAATGGCATCATTTATGTGGCTCACATTGCTGGGATTGAGCTGAGTTGGTTATTATATTTGTGATGATGCAATTCTGCATGTCACTGCATAAGCTGTGATCTGTAGATGAATACACTCTGTCACTTGCTATGTTCATAGATTTGTATCAATACTAGGGCCATGATCAAATTCAGCAAAGAATAACAACAAATGTTTTTCAAAACATTGGTTGGGAAGTAGCAAAAAATACTATGATTTCTCATTTACTTCCTGCCATGGAAAAAAGACCACACTCACTGCCCGGCTGTCTCATTGACTGCTGGCTGTTTCCCTGACTGCTTCACACACTGCTGGTCATTTCCTTAAGTGAGTGTCAGTCCTTTCACTGACCACTCATATAGATCCTGGCTTAGGGACCCACAACCCCTTTCTGCCCACTTCTGCTATACTAACCAGGAAGGAGAACCTTCCAGGCAGCTTTTGGCTGGTTCGTTTTTGTAAAGGACTCTACTTTTACTTTTAAAATCACTAACAATACTTTGTGTGACAAAAGGTGGGCTGTAGACAGGATTCCTGAAAAACCCAGGTCATTAAATTTACTCAAAGATAGGCTGGAGACAAGATTCCTGAAAGACCCTGGTCATCAAATTGACTTAAAAGGAAAAAGGATCTCTATTCATCTCTTACGGATGTGTGAGAAATCATATTGCTATATATTAACCACAATTTCTTTCTGTTCACCACCAACTTATGGACAGGGGTGTGAGTTCTCTACCTCCTGTCTCTACTTATGAATTATACACCTAAAGAAAGCTGGGAAATTGACTAAACAAAATTTGGTATGGAGGTCAGAAGTCCAAACAACTCTTGCAATGATGATGGCTCTTCACAAAATTAAAGACAAAAGTTTTGATACCCCCTCTCTCTACCTCTATCTCTCCCTCCCTCCACACATTCCCAGATTTGATTGCTTTATTCATTTTTGGTTTTTTTTTTTTTTTTCCTATCCTTTATTCAATTTTCCTTTTTTATTTTTATTTTTTTTTTTTTTGACTTCCTTTAGCTGAAAAGAACAAAGCTGAGGAAAAACTCAACAATGAAAGAACTCGTCGTCAAGCTGGACCCTCTTCATTATTTGGAGCTCTCCCAGATCTTCAGCGCAAACCTCGTAAACAGTTCACCCCAGAAGAACTTGAAGAAAGACGTAAAAAGGTAACAGAAAAAAGTACAATAAATACATT